AATGCTCCACTTTGCTCCTCAGCTAATCCATATCTTTACCTGTGTGCTGTCTAGTGCTGAGCAGGTAGTTTGCAGTGAGTTTATCAGAACATTTCTGTACAAATTTTGCCAAATAAGTTGGTGAGAGTTTGGCACTGGAAAGCTGAAACAATGAGCTGAGCAAGGCTGACACACACTGAAGAGCTGAGGGTAAAGGCAGAGTCACGTAACAGTTCTGTGGGGTCACTCAAGGCAACACTTTCCACGTTAAAACACAATCATGTGATCCAAAGATATTGTTAAGTTTGTTGTCTGAATTTTGCTCAGACCGATGTCATTTATGTGAAACTGGTTTCCTTTTGACTTTCTGTTGTCTATGTGTGTTGTCCTGTGAACCAGGCACATTGGTGCATTGGTATGCAGTCTTCATCATCCTAGTCTCAAATTGTCAACAGACATGGAGAACATATGACACTGTCTGAATCTTTATGCATCCTGATACTGGCTGTAGTTCACTACCATGGTGGAAGCAGTGATGTTTTATTCATTTTTGCCTTTATGTCACAGGTACAGTAGAGACAGACACAACATGTAGGGAAAGAGAGCAGGAGAATGACATGCAGTAGGTGTCTGGTCTGCTGGGAACTGAACCAGGGACTCGTTGACAGCATGTGCACGAACATGGTATCACCCAACTGTCTCAACTATCATGGTGTCTTTCCAAAAGGGGGTTCAGAGAGACAGCAAAATAGTGAGAGTTCAAATTCCCTGTGGAATTCAGATTATTAACATGACTGTCTTGAATAATTTTCTGCTGAACATAATTTTGATTTTAAAAATGCACACAACTGATTAAGAGGAAAGTGAGAAAGCAGAAAAGTCCTGACAAGACAGATGAGAGAAGTGTTTGATGTCTGTTACCTTGTCCACTGATGGCAGGTTAGCAGTCCAGTCCTGCAGCTGTTCTTGGGGGATTACACGGTGCAGTCCCAATCCCTTCTTCATGTATCGCTGGTGTGAGGGGCAAGTGTGGAGCAGGTAAAGTCCACAGGCCACAGCATATCCTCCCCAGTTAGACACCCCTGCAGCAGCATGGGACAGTTGTGATGTGACAAAAACATTACCGAGTTCCTTTCCTAATCAAGACTTAATCAACACAACTGAAATATGTGTAAATTGATATAAGATATAGGGGCACTGCCATAGTCTGGATGGAAGTAAATGATGCCTTCCATTGATGCATCCAGGTGAGTCAAGGACTTAAATGACCACATTGTCACCTTGTAACTAGTTTCCCTTCATGACTGTGTACTTATTATCTAGGAAAGTATCTGTGACGCAGAAAGTTGCATTTGGTAATTCCTGATTATTTCCTCTTTTTTACTTCACTTCTTCATTTCCACTAATATGACCCAGCGTGTGAAAGCTTAGCACAAATCAGCATAATTAGAAGATGTACAGAGAAGTCAGTCATGCCAGTTTCATTTCCTTTCACATGTGCGTTCGTGTATTTGCTTGACAAACTGTATTTGCATTCTGCGTGGATTTGTGGGTGTACAATACGTATTTACACTCAAAAGAGCTGAGACATCATTGATGTAATTGATGTCACAACTGTCATTGATGTCTCAACCGTGTTTATTGGCATTCTTGTTTTGTGCGTATGCATCCATTACTGCAAACTGAGTGTAGATCCATACCAGCAGTAATGGCAAAGTCAGCAGGAACATCACAGGCTATAAGACTCCCTTTGGGCATCAGGTCCTTCACCTTCTCCTTCACTTTACCCATCCCCAGCTCATTACCTCCATCACCAATTCCTACAGTAACAAAAAGAAGAATAGTTTACATAAATAATACAACATAACAGTACGGTGAACAACAGGCATATTCTTATTGACTTCTATGTGAATATACCTGTAAACTGTGTGAGAGTGTAGCAGCTTTAACAGAGTGTGAGAGGACATAAGAACATTCTCCTATCATTCAGAAAAAAAACACATTTGAAAGAAGTTTAAACTTATTTCATGACAGCAGGAGGACATCACCATTGCAACACAAAGTTTTTGTCCAGATGCTTATAGAGCATATAGTGTAAAAATTGAAAAAAAAAAAAAAAAAAACAGGGTTACACTCTCAAGATCTAACATGCATGTTAAAAAACATAAAAGCAACAAATAGCACAAACAGCAAGGATTCCTACAGTTAAAGAAATCAACAATACACACTTTATATTAAACATATATTAGCAGTTCAATGTATTCCAGGATGTCATTGGTGCCACTCTTGAGGAAGCGGTTCTGATTGAACCCTTCAAATCATATAGAAACAGCACTCCAGAGTTAAGCACTATACTACTGTAACACAGTCTGTCTCATGATGGATATAAAAATCCCATCAAGTTGATACAGCAGGACCAAACTCTACTATTCCACACATGCTTCTCCCTTGTCAATATCCACAGTGCAGCTCTCCTTCTAAGAGTTCATTTGGGGACTCATGTGCGTGACTAATGTATTCTGAGTTGCTCACTTCAAGTGCCTTTAAGAACGTCAGACTCCCAAAGACGTTGCATTTTTAAACTTGCAGTCTTAAACCGGAACAAACAGTGGTTCAGCTCACTTGACCAGAACTCATCAGAATTCCCACAGCTCCCTCTGGAGTCAAAAATGGTTTTGTATAACTTTTCACAACCCCACGACCTGTAAACTAACACCAGTAGCTGCGTCACAGACATGTTCATGTGGGTAAATAAGACTCGTAAGTGTGCTGCTAGAAACTAGTTGCTAGTCCTTTTTCCCAGTGTTAAGCCAGAATCTACTTACAGGGCTCCAGCATGTGACCAGACATTCAGCCCATCCAGGCAGTTAAAATCACTCAGTCTCAGCTGAGGTAAATTCGACATCACAACACCTTTATTCGTCTTTTCAAAATAATTTTTGCTCACACGCCTGTCTGAGCTGCTGTCGGTGGGAGCAAGAGGCTTCTCTGTGTACAGCTTTGTAACAGTGAACCGATGCATGTGATGCAGCCAAGGATAATTGGCAAATTGTAGCATCTACAGATATTCTGCATTTGAAGAGTTTCGGGAACATCTGTGAAGTGTAGATTACAGATGTTCCCCCAGAGTTACACTCTCCCCTGCTAAACTGCATGAGTCTCTGCATGCACATCACTTACACTGCAACACCTCGCACCACAAGTACATTTTAGGTCTGTGGGAAACACTTCGATGTGATAAAATGGCCAACATTGTGTGTTTACTGCAGGGTGCAGCTGCAGCACAGCTGGGAAAGGAAATGCTATAAGAGCATCGACATTCCGAATTTAAATCTTAAAAAGGCACAATGCTTCCATGACACATGTCCTCTGCTCTGACAGGTGTGTGAGCAGCAGTGCAACCCTCTCCCTGCAACGTTTCAGCACAAGGTAGCAGCAAAGCAAAGTAGTGAGGCAACAGAAATTATAATTAAATTTACCAAAGCTTTTAATATAGTCAAAGAAGAGCTACCTCTAAGTTCCAGACCATCCTGATGAAAAACAAACAGTATGGAATAATGTACAACATTTATTCACCCCTCATTCCTGA